AAAAAAAAAAAAAAGATAGCTGTATCCCACATGGTCTACTACATGTTTAGAGTCCCAGACCTGGCAGTTTGAGAGATACACTAAGTGCATGTGAGCTTAATCCCAAGAGGAGAATGGACAAGAAGAGATTATGGCATGGCATCTCCAATTGGGGGTGATTTCTCATTTTCCTCTCTAACTCTCTCTGTCTCTCTCTAGTGAGTGCACATACCTTAAGGCAAACTAAGTGGGAGGGAATGGTCAAGACTGCATTATACTTTATATTCAGTGTTTATTTACCTGCATTGATATGGCTCGATCTCATATTTAATTCTACAAGCGATGTCTGTTCTCAGTAACAAGTTATACTCATGTGTCACCATCTTCCCACTTTTAGGTACAGTCCATTGAGTCCAAGCTGGACTGTCTTCTTGACATATACCAACAGGTCTTGCGGAAAGGCTCCGCCTCGGCCCTCACCTTGGCGTCATTCCAGATCCCACCATTTGAATGTGAACAGACATCCGATTATCAAAGCCCTGTGGATAGCAAAGACCTGTCCAGTTCTGCACAAAACAGTGGCTGCTTATCCCGATCGGCTAGTGCCAACCTCTCGCGAGGCCTGCAGTTCATTCTGACACCAAATGAGTTTAGTGCTCAGACTTTCTATGCGCTTAGCCCTACTATGCACAGTCAAGCAACACAGGTGCCAATGGGTCAGAGCGACGGCTCCACAGTGGCAGGCGCCCACAACATTGCAAACCAAATAAATGTGGCACCCAAGCCAGCAGCCCCAACAACTTTGCAGATCCCACCTCCTCTCCCAGCCATCAAACATCTGCCCAGGCCAGAGACCCTGCACCCAAACCCCGCAGGCTTACAGGAAAGTATTTCTGACGTCACCACCTGCCTTGTTGCCTCCAAGGAAAATGTTCAGGTCGCACAGTCAAATCTGACCAAGGACCGTTCTCTGAGGAAAAGCTTTGATATGGGAGGAGAAACTCTGTTGTCTGTCCATCCCATGGTGCCGAAGGACTTGGGCAAATCTTTGTCTGTACAAAACCTGATCAGATCAACAGAGGAACTGAATATACAGCTTTCAGGGAGTGAGTCAAGTGGCTCCAGAGGCAGCCAAGATTTTTACCCCAAATGGAGGGAATCCAAATTGTTTATAACTGATGAAGAGTTGGGTCCCGAAGAGACAGAGACAGACACTTTTGATGCCGCACCACAGCCTGCCAGGGAAACTGCTTTTGCATCAGACTCTCTAAGGACTGGAAGATCGCGATCATCTCAGAGCATTTCTAAGGCAGGGGAAAGTACAGATGCCCTCAGCTTGCCTCATGTCAAACTGAAATGAGTTCTTCGTTTTCTTTCTAGGCATAGCAGTTCCTTTAGCCATACATATCATTGCATGAACTATTTTGAAAGCCCTTCTAAAAAGTCGAAATTGCAAGAATCAGGGAGAACATGAGAGGCAGTTTATAAGCCTGTTATCTTTTAATTGCATGAAAATGCATGTTTAGGGTGGCTGAAATTCCAAGGAGCATCGACATTATCCCACTCATTTAGTAATGTACCTTGAGTTGTGAGTCCTGAGAAACCAAACACTGCTCTTGCTATGGGGTGTGTGAAAGTGTCAAGATTCGGTCACTTAGAGGATTTGACACTGCAGTTTGAAATTATGGGAGGAAACATCTTCAAATTTCAGGCATTTCTGCTTTGTGACTAAATACAAAATACATTTTCCAAACTAGGCCATAATGTATATTTGAATAAATGTCTAGCAACAGCTGCTAACACGGTATCAAGGAAAGCAGAATTGGGGAAAAATAGAAATGGCCGCTTTTTTCGAGATGTATTTGCCAACCTAGTCCTATTCAGTCATTTTATTATTCATGTAATTTGATATCGGTGTGCTTTTGGTGAATTAGCGCTGTGGCAAGCAATTTTGCACATCATCTTTGTGTTCTTCTTTAGGACAGGTTCTTCAATTAGGAAATGTGCAAAAAGTGAAATTCAGACCCAGTGGGGCGAATAGGCTGTTGACATTCGACTCTCTGGAAACCTGTTCCCTGGTGGCACAGTCAGCTTCCACATACGCACCTGAAATGCTGACTGGTAGAACAGCCAGTGTGATCGGACTGGTCTTTCTGCAATGGCATCGACCTTCGCCTTGCCAATACTGCCCACGCAATGGGCTAGTATCAGGAGCTATGTTCATTTAGCTGACATGCAGGTAGGCCCCCAGGGAATGGACATGTTGAGTGGGGCTGAACTAGGCTGGAAAAGAATCTACAACCACCACCAGGTAAGAGGCAAAGTTAAAGAAAATGATTTCCCCCTCAAAGGGCAATGAGAGGGAGAGAAACAAACCAAAATGAAGACTAGTTTTTTGAGAAAAGGAATATGACTAGACAAGTCAATGACCTAACCATCCTTTATTCTTATATATAAACAGAGTTTGGCAAGGTATTTATTTTTTAATATGCCCTGAAAGTCTTTTGCTATCGTGTAGTACATTTTGCATAGGAAAGGCTAAAACTAAACTCCCTTTAGTTTTTATATTATAGCAAACATTTTCTGTTCTCCCCGAGAATATCGTCCCAAACCTGGAATGACTGGTGGTTTCCCAGTATAAACATTTACACTTAGAAGCCAGATAGTACCAGCAGGGTGTACAAATCAAAACATGATGGCATGGCTGCGAAAAGACCCAGGGAACAAACTGCAAAGTGTATTTGTCAGAAAGCGAGCGACGCCGACTGCTGTCCTCGACCGTCAAAACGTCAGCCAAAGTGTGGCATTCAAAAGGCGAGAAGAGGAGAGAGAACCTTTCCACTCAGTTCCATCCTGGCCACATGAAGGACTCGAGAAGTTTCTTCCTCAGCAGACATCAGTGCTGCCTCTTCCAGGAAAACCACTCCAGCAGCCAGGGAGAATGAGCAGGGATACCCACTGGCTGTTCAAAGGGAGAAGGCAACCTTGAAATCCCCAGGAGGCTTTCTCTATCAGTGACCTCTGCTCCTGCTTCCCTTCCTCACCAATGGCTTCATTCCCTGCCGCTGTTTTGCTTCTGAACTTCAGCAGGCCTTAATTAGCCTCCAACCCCAAGTAAACCAATTCTCCACTCTACCTACAATGTACTTCTCATCCTTTTAAAATCCTTGTCCCTTTTGATAAACATAAATTTTAAAAGTTTCCTTTTCTCATCCCACTTGGATTCTTACACACTCCTCTGGACTGTATCATTCAGAATCTTCTTGGCTGTACACACACAGAAGATAGAGCCTACATTTTACCCTCCCATTTAAAAGGTTGTATCAAGCTTCTAAAGCAATTATGTTAATTTCCCAAATATGGAATACCAGTTATTAATGAATTTTTCATCTACCCATGTCTTCCACTCAACATGAAATTATGACATACCCTTTAAGAATGTTGCACACAGAACCACACGCACACGCACAGACACACACACATACCCCTCCACTGACCTCAAGCCAGAGCCTCCCACACACTTGGCAGGCTCTCTCCAAATATTAGCCGAGGAAGAGGAATGGAGGCGGCAACTTTCAGGTAGCACTGATTCTTGGACATACTGTCCTGGGTCGAATCCCACTGGCAGCAGGCAAACTGCATGTCTTTGGGG